TCTATATTCCAGTGTAAACATCTATTAAGAATGATAATCCAAGTCTTTGTTGCCATATAATTTGGCTGTGAGTAAAAAAAAAGTGTATCACAACTTAATTGATATAAAAATGTTTTATTTCAAAATTTATTTTAAAATTCTTGGCAGTGACATGCTTCAGAATATTTCTTACTGCTGACAAGATTCATTTCTTCTTTTATAGATTTTCTCATGTAAAATTTGATATAGTAGTATAGTTTACATCAGTATTAAAAAAATAAACTTGAATTGTTTAAAAATTAAGTCTGGCTTAATTAATAATTAATTTAAATTAGTCAGTTTGTTAAATCTTCTTATACAGCAAGTTATTTTTATTGGAGAAGGTGTCAGTAACTGTCTTCATGACTGTAAAACAATCTTGATACATTTTGATGTTAAAGCCATGTGTAAAAATAAAAGCTGTTCATTATCTCTTGACTTAATGACTATAATGAATAATGCTATAATTGATATCTCCATCCACAATAACAAAATTGTCTGAACATCTGACATTACATCAAACAAAGGAAACTTGTTGTTCCAGGTTATGTTTGAATCTCTGTAGAACGCAATATATCATAGGAATGCAACAACTCGACCAATTTGGTAAATGCGTAATTTTCTGCAAATCAGCACTGACTGCTGGAGATATAATCTTACTTTCTTGATGTCTAACTTTCAAGAAAATTCACTTAGGCATTCATGAATACGCAATTCACTGTAACATGCATGGAGTTGTTCAAAAAGATGTTTTCAAATTGCCTGCTAGCTGATGTATATGTCTGAGTACAAGGAGAACATTGTTTTAACATCTGACATCAAGAGTCATGTTTGAATTGTAATACTGGTAGTGTGTAGAATGTGGTTGGATGTTGTCAACTGTACAAACACTATAAACAGTAGGTACAAAGTCTTAAGACTAAGCTTTGTTGGACATGATAGCGAGTGTTGTGAATATGGATATCAGATTTTAACAAGAATACAGAGTAAATAATACATGCACATTAGAATAATCAAATGTCATTCATTTCAAACTGATTGGCATGCGATACAAGGCTACTCATCTCAAAGTCATTTCTAATGTTGAACACAGAGGGCGGTATTACTTTTTGAAGTGTGAGCTCAATGCAAAGAATCCAGCATTTGTCGAGTCCTGAGGAATAGAAAACAGAAAACAAATTATTAGACACCATGATATTACTAACTAACATGACTGATCTAATAAGATACACAAGTCACAAAGCATTTAGTTATCTGGCTATACACCCACACTCATACAGGTTTTCAGAAACAAAAATACCAGGTTTGGTCAAAGCCATGTAAATTGCATGGGGTCGTCAGCCAGAGTACCATAAAAAAGGATGATTCAAAGAAATAAGAAAAGAAAAAGTTCAGCAAGCAGTTGGTTAATTAAATGGAGGTTAATTTACATAAAAACAAATGGTTTAGTCTATAGTTTTTAATTTGCAAATAAATAATTCAATGCATATGACATTGCAATTACTATTTTAATGCCTCTATTTTCCAAGAACATCCATCACCTGTATTCTAAGACAACTAAAAACAGTTTCATTCTGTAACTCACCTGTGTTTTAGCACCACTTGCTACTGTTGTTAAATTGCTTATTGTCTTGATCTGTACATCACTCAACCTGCAGAGTGACATAGAGAGTGAATGTTTCAACATTTTCAGATGTTCACTTTTTTTTATTTAGGCAGTATTGATTATTCAACTTCACTACATAGCAAGGTGTAGGAAAGTATAATTGTATAATGCATGAACTAAATTTTGCAATGCATGTTTGAGAAAGTGGTCCAGTTAAAATCATGTATGG